ACAGACGAGGTTCCCGCTTGATATTCGTGCATATTCAGGCCTCAGGAGCCCAAAAGTGACGACAGTTACAGGTTTGAGGATGACCCGCTCAGATTCAAATGTGAACTGCGGGCCCCATAGGGAGGGGGTTCCCGCCTGAGACTTCCTCACAATTCACTCACAGACGAGGCTCCCGCTTGATACTTCCTCCAAATTCAGACCTGAGGAGCCCAAAAATGACGACAGTTAAAGGAATCGGATGACCCGCTCGGATTAATAACATGATCTGCGGGCCCCATAGGGAGGGTGCTCCCGCCTGACGCGTCCTCACAGTTCACTCACAGACGAGGCTCCCGCTTGATACTTCTTCCAAATTCAAACCTGAGGAGCCCAAAAGTGACGACAGTTACAAGAATCCGATGACCCGCTCGGATTAATAACATTATCTGCGGGCCCCATAGGGAGGAGGCTCCCGCCTGAGACTTCCTCGCAATTCACTCACAGACGAGGCTCCCGCTTGATACTTCCTCCAAATTCAGACTTGAAGAGCCCAAAAGTGACGACAGTTACAAGAATCCGATGACCCGCTCGGATTAGTAAAATGATCTGCGGGCCCCATAAGGAGGGGGCTCCCGCCTAAGACTTCCTCGCAATTCGCTCACAGACGAGGCTCCCGCTTGATACTTCCTCCAAATTCAGACCTGAGGAGCCCAAAAGTGACGACATTTACAGGAATCCGATGGCCCGCTCGGATTAGTAACATGATCTGCGGGCCCCATAGGGAGGGGGCTCCCGCCTGAGACTTCCTCACAATTCACTCACAGACGAGGCTCCCTCTTGGTGGATGATGGTGATGGGATGATGACGACGGTGTTTGATGATGATACATGGTTGATGATGATGATGATGATGGTGGTGGTGATGATGACGACGTGATGATGATGATGATGGTAATGATGATGAGTGCTGATGGTGATTGATCGTGCGATTCTGATGGTAAATGGTGGTAATGATGATGGGGACGAAGTGGTGAGTCAGCGAGTAGTGATGATGATGATGATGATGATGATCGTTCGATGCCGATGATGGTGAGTGACCGCGCGATGGTGATGGTGATGCTGATGGTGATGATGATGATGAGTGGGGAGTGATGATGATGGTGATGATGATGCGGAGGAGGAAGCAAAGAGGAGCAGAGGAGAGGGAGGAGGACGAGAGATCCTGCGCGGAGGGTGTGCAGAGAAAACAAGAACCCCACTTAGGATGTGGGGAAAAAAACATTATCCCAGTGCGACCCTACCTAGGAGTTGGAACCCCTAGGGAAGCAACATTAGTAGTAACAGTAACGCTAAGCTAAAGCTAAGCTAAAGCTAAGCTAAAGCTAAGCTAAAGCTAAGCTAAAGCTAAGCTAAAGCTAAGCCGCAGCTAAGCTAAAGTTAAGCTAAAGCTAAGCTGAAGCTAAGCTAAAGTGAAGCTAAAGCTAAGCTAAAGCTAAACTAAAGCTGAGCAACAACCAAGCTAAAGCTAAGCTTCCGCTAAACTACAGCTAAGCTACAGCTAAGCTAAAGCTAAGCAAAAGCTAAGCTAAAGCTAAGCTACAGCTAAGCTACAGCTAAGCTTAAGCTAAGCTAAAGCTAAGCTAGCGCTAACCTAAACGCTAAGCGAAAAGCTAAGCGAAACGCTAAGCTAAAGCTGAGCTACAGCTAAGCTAAAGCTGAGCTACAGCTAAGCTAAAGCTAAAGCTAAAGCTAAAGCTCAAGCTAAAGCTAAAGCTAAAGCTAAAGCTCCCAGGGGACTGGGGGGAACCGCTCCCAGGGGACTGGGGGAACCGCCCGGGGCGATTTCCACTGCCCGGCCCCTTTAAGCTAAGAGAGTAAGAACCCTTCTAGGCAGAGCCCAGGTAGGGAATGAAAGCAAACAAAAACAACAACTTCCCTTCTAACTCTGAAAATTCCTTACCACATTCCTTTATAACTCCTTTTTTCCTCCCTGGCCCAGACCTCCAGGCGTCGGAAAACAAAAAACGAACAAACACGAAATTCCTTTCCAATTCTGGAAATTCCTCATCGAATTCCTTTATATGTCTCCTACCCGGCCCAGACCTCATGGCGTCGGAAAAGAAGAAAAAAAAACAGGACATGCCTGTCTAACTCTGGAAAGTCCTTGGTAAATTCCGTTCTAGTTTCTTTTTTCTTTCCTGGCCCAGACCTCATGGCGTCCGCAAACAAATCTTTTCTGACCCTGGAAATTCCTCATCATATTTCTTTAGAATTCCCTTTTTTTCTTCCCCGGTCCAAAACTCCTGGCGTTATTTTTGTTTGTTCGTTTGTTCTTCCCCCCTTTTATTTCGTTCTTGTTTGTTATATGTATGTATGTATGTGTGTATATATATGTATACACATACATATATATATATATATATATATACATATATGTATATATACATAGATACCCGAACCCTGGAAATGTCTTACAAACTTCCTCTTTAACTCTGGACACTCCTTATCACATTCCTTGCTGG